AGAATATAAACTTGCACCCACTGATCTTTTGGCATATACACCGATCAACGGTATCTTCCATAAATTCAAAAGATGTTATGGTATCATTAAACTTTATATACTATTGTCGTGAGCCTTATTTGAGTCCATATATTGACTTCTTCAGCTTACACACCATTTGACCTTTTCCTTTAGTTTCATAACCCTCTGGTTGGTCAATATAAACTTCTTCCTCGATATTTTCATTAAGAAAGATAATTTTCACATCCATTTAGTGTAACTCTAAATCATAATGAGTCACCAAAGCCATAATAATTCTTAACCAGTCTTTCTTAAAGATCGGTGAAAAGGTTTCTTTATAATCAATGCCTCCTTTCTAAGAAAAACCCTTGCCAACAAGTCTGGCATTATATCGCTCAATATTGCCCTTTGAATCGTGTTTAGTCTTAAAGACCCATCTACACCCGATTCTCTTAGTACTTTCTGGCAATTCAACGAGATCCCAGACTTTATTGTATTCCATGGATCTTAACTATGTCTTTATGGCATCAGTCCATTTGTCAGACTCGTTACTTTTAATAACTTGTGAGAATAAAATCGGATCCTTATTAAGACCAATGTCAAAATCTGACTTTTGCAAATAAACTACGTAATCATCTGACATAGCCGACTTTCTTACTTTTTGAGAATTTCTTAACGGCATTTTTTGTGGTTTATTTGTGTCAGATATTTGTGAGTTAATTTCTTCATGAAGCTTTTCATCCAAATATTGTTCGGTGTTATCAAAGTGTTCTTCAACAACTGGAATAATATTTGGTATTTGTGTGAAAGTAGGCACATTCGTGGGTAATGGAATATGACTAGGAGGAAAAGCAAGTCTATAAGCAACCTCGTCAATTCTCTCCAATACCTCAAAGGACCAATAAACATCGGGATCAACTTGCCCTTCTTCTAATACCTCATCACACCCTTCATGGGCAAAACTCTAAGAAGAACCTTCTCGCCCTCCATGAAACGAACCTTCTGGTCCGCATAAGTATAACCTCTAGAAGAGTAATATGCCAGGAAAGAGAACAAAACACAGTTATCGCCAACAACAAACACATTCTGAGAATTAGCAACAACCGGAATGTCTTTGCATTTTCTGTCATCTGATCTATAGCTAATTCCTTAGAGCTATGAAAAATCGAGAGGAATCGTTTTGATTTAGTGGTAAAAGTCTAGTGGAAAAACTTAGATGTAAATGTTCTTGAATGGTTTAAATCCACGGCTTGTCTGTGATTTTAAGTAGTATCAATCATTAGTTTAGATGATAATACATGGATGTGCAGCTGAAATTTCTCGAAATTATATAAATAAAGTAACCTTAACTTTGGCACTGAGTGAAAACTATATTTAAAGACTATATCTCCTTAAAGCCTTTCATGGAGACTATCAATAGATAGGAAGTCTAGCCTAGGAGTATGATAAGTGGCTAGTAGTTTTAGGATAAAATTAGTTAGGTTAGTTAATAATTAGTTACTCTTTTTTAATTTAAATTTTTAAGGTAATTATTTATAAAAAATGAGGAAAAATATATAAATAAATAACTTCAGTATAGAGGTATAAAAAAGGAAAAGAATAATTTATTTTTTGAGATGAGAATTTTTTGAATAATAATTCATATGATCATGCTATATGGATAAGATCACGTAATTAAAAATATTATTATAGATAAAACTAAAGACAAAAACATAAACAATAATTTCAAGAAATAAATAAAAATATAAAGATATAATTTAAATTCTTATGTATTAATTTTAAGAGAAAAATTAAAGTTTCATATTAAATACAAATATGAAGGAGAATTTAGTTTAATTGCTTATTGAAAATAATACACAAATAATTATTATTATTATTATAATTATTACTAGATTTATGACATAATAAAAGAACTTTTCTGTTCAACATTTGAACTAATTCAACACCATCCATTTAGAAAAATAATACAATAATATTCGTATTATAGATAAACAATAACAACATTGTAAACATAAATGAAAAAAATTAAACTATTATAGATCAAAAACTAATGCATAAAGAGGACAATAGATATAATGTGATTCTATCCACACTTTGAATTTATTTGATAAAATTAAGTAAACAAATAATACTCAAAAATTTTATAGATAAATGTAAATAACGAAATAATTATGAGAAAGTCATACAAAATAAAGTCAAGTTAAATTTTAAGAGTAATAAAAAATTATATTCATCATATTATATTAAACTGCTAATTTACTAAATATTCATATAATATTAAGTAAGGATAATACAATTAAATAAGCAAGGAACCAAAAAAAGAAATAAACTATAAATTTGTGGGAAAATATAAAAATATAAGACTAATAATCAGAAGTATGATAAGAAAAGTCATACATATACACATAACTAAATCATAATAAACAAAGAGTCATAAAGGAAAAATACTAAGAAAAATTTAAGCGATAGTGTTAAAATGTATATACTAATTTTCTCCTTATACTTTTGATGAATTCAAAATTATAATTTAGTAAAAAGAATATATTAGTACATTATTTAATTTTTTAATAATGAGAAAACTAATCAAATATTACAGTAGAAAAGAATGTACGAAAAGAGGGGGATAAAGATAATTTTAGGATATTTATATTTTGAATTAATTAAAAAAACTACTAATAAATAGATAGCACTCAAAAAAGATAAATTTAGACAATTGAAGAATATTGAAAAATATAACATAAGTTTAAAATGAAACTATACTCAGAGTAAGAAAATATATATCTATGTTATATTTAAAGAAAAGTAATATCAAATATTAAGCCAATTGGCATGTTAATAAAAGGTCATATTAGCAAATGTACAATACTAAGTACTTGCAAATTTAATAAAGAATAAATAAGGAACAAATAACTTATTTGATTACTATATAATATGTATTCTTTGATTTTGTATATATTTTATTATACTTTTGCACACTGCATTGAAAAATTTAATAACGACTAATATTTATTAAAATAATATGATATATCATATTATCATTTTATAAGATTAATATTCTATCAAATAATCACACATCGAGCGAGTTCTAACACTACTTTGATATTAATTTTTCATGGCAATAGTTTGTTGCTTAACTCTCCCGTAACAAAGCTTTTAACAATTACAAGATTTATTCTTCAAGAGAACTCAAATAGATTCTCAAGATATAGCCATCTTTCAATTTGATCCATCTCCTCTTTTGGATGGTGTATCAAGTACAATTATCTTTACGGATTAAGTAATTTTTAATCGTTGGCATAGATCCTAAAGAGATATTATTTTCTTATGAATACTTGAATCGAGATCGTTTGGCTCAATATTATCCAAATTTTACTGAGAGAGCATCCCTATTTCTCACCTTGAATTGGTCAAAACCAAATAGTCTTCAAACATAATTAGGATATGGATGCTAATACAAAACAAATATTGGCATGAAATAAAATTTAATTGGAGAAATATGATTCATATAGCAAATCAACTCGTTTGAGATGAATTTAATTTTTTCGGACCGATTGAGATGAATTTAAAAGTAAAAATCAGTAGTATAGTCAAACCTCTCTATAAAAGCCGTATTTGTTTCGATATTTTTCGAATGTTGGGTATATATTTGTCACGACCCAAAATCCCTCCTCATGAGTCGTGATGGCACCTAGTCCCTAGGACTAGGTAAGCCTAACACATAGAGAGTTATTTAACAGATTTATACGAATCAACCATTTAACATGAACCAAAAATTTCTATATAAAGCCAACAACCATAAGTAGTTGTACAATATCCCAAAACCCGTAGTACAAGTCATAAGCTATACTAAGTTCACTAGAAAATCTCTAGGTACAACTGTTCCGGAATAGAAATAAACAGTACAAAGTAAGATTTTAGAAGGTGACTCCGAGGTCTGCGAACGCGATGACAGGTATACCTTGAAGTCTCCGCCGCAACTCACAATCAGCTAACTAATGACCAGTGCATTCCGAAATACCTGGATCTGCACAAAAATATGCAGAAAGTGTAGTATGAGTATACCACAGCGGTACCCAGTAAGTATCAAAATTAACCCCAGTAGAATAGTGACAAGGAACAGTCAAGACACCTACTATACATAATAACATGTACAAGTACGAATATGAAACTAACAAGAAACAATATCAATATAAAGCTAAGCGTGGTAAGAATATTAAAACAATACTTGCAATAGAAAACTAGAAGCAACAATTAGCAACCAGGAACAACAGGTAATAACACCGTAAAGTAAGCAGAATACAGTTAAAGTCCGGTGAAACCAAGGGAAAACATGTAACAACCCAATAGAACAATCACTCTCACACAAGGTTAATACAAGAATTTTCCCGAGGTACCACACCTTATAATCACAATCACGGGTCTCAAATCACGAACCCTAATCAATTGGCATCTTGTGCACACATTACAAATCACATTCGCACGGACAACTCATGTGTTGCACGGATAACTCACGTGCCAATACCATTAATACCTCATATCTGCACGGACAACTCATGTGCTAAGAGAGTAAAAATATCTCATATCTGCACGGACAACTCACGTGCTAGCAGTAACGATAACTCATAACCGCAGAATTCTTCGTCCATGAATTTTATGCCAATGTCGCTCATATCAAGAAAGGGACGAAGGTGACCAAAGTGCGCAACCTCAAGGTGAGGTTTGATCAGCATAAACTAAATGCGTATTTGGGCTTTGAAGATGTTGAGCCCAAAGAATATCTGGAGAAATGCGCATTGAAGGATAAAGTCTGACCTTGGTTGGCTGAGATTCTAGCACCACCAGGGCCACCACCACCATGGATCGCTGCTAGGGTTCCCATCCACCGGAACACTTTAAGTTTTGAGGCAAAAGGGTGGCAAACCTTTGTCTGCAGTAGACTGGATCCAAGCCAGAACGAGACTCACCTTCCCATCCATCGGGTAGTGCTTGTGGCTTCCATCATGGCTGGTTACCCAATCAATGTGGGTGCCGTAATTTCATCTAACATTTCAATGATCGCATGGCAGGACAACTCGGCCTACCCTTATCCAAACACTATCATAGATTACCTCACTGATGCAAAGGTAGAGACGAGGGATTTTGACACCAAGGTGAAGGAAAAGAAGCCCTTCGATTGGTATTCTATGATGGATACGAGCAACCCTAAGAAGAAAGTTCAGCCTTCTATCACCACATGCCAGTCTGATGAGCCAACAGTGGTAGCTTCTGAGGCGGCTGATCTTCCATCCACTTATGTTGAGCCTTCCACTAGTTCCATTGCTATGCCTCCACCATCATCTTCAGCTCCTACCACAACCTCTAGAGTTTCTCTAAAGCCAGTGCCCATGCCCACAGTTCCCCTATCTACTCTGCGAGTCTCCCAAATATTGGCGAGTCTCAACAACTGGATGCAGACAACTACTTCTAAGATGTCTAACTTGTCTAGTACTGTTGTAGTGCAGTCCACTTCTCAGGCACCACAGGTTCCTTCTGACATTGATGAGACACTGAAGAAGATTTTGGAGAACCAGAATGCAATCATGGATACATTGGTATAACACAGGTCAGTGATTGAGGAGCTGGGAAAGGAAGTAAAGAAGATGAGAAAGTCCCATGTTAGCAAAAAATCAGTGGACAAGCTCCGGAGGGAGGTGACTAGACTTGCTACAGTTGGCGACCTTCCCTTTGACATGCTGCTTAACCCGTACCAGTCCGCCCCAGTCCTTCAGCACCATCTGCATCGGTAGCACCAGCTGGCCAGTCTGACGAGCCAAACTTTGCTGCCGACACTGTTGAGGCAGTGCGTGAGATGTTCGCCAACCCAGCCACACCTAAATTTGATGATGATGAGATTCAGTTGGCTGATCCTGAGGGAGATGACATTGCTGGGGACACTGAGATATCCAAGGATCCATAGGGATTTTTCTTCACCGTCTCATCTTTTACTCTTATTTTGCTAAGCACTTGGATAATGCTTACTTTTATTCGGGGTGTGGGGGAGGGATGGAGTTTATTTGACATATTGGTACACTTTGATACATTTGGTCTGTAATAATTTGATGATACTCTTTCTATTCTTATTTGTATTCAAAAAAAAAGGAAAAGCAAGTACATCCTTAACGGCCTCTATTCCTGATGTGAACAGGCGCTTTCTTGGAACTTTATCTAGCTTCTCTTTTTTCTCTTATGTATATTTATCTCTCTTTAGTAGTTTTTGCTTATTAGCTTCTTTATTTGTTTTCTATATTAGCTTTTGTTTTGTTAAGTAGCTTCTTTTTATGCTTTAGTTAGAAAAATAAGCCTTTGGTTTTCTTAACGTCACAGTTCTTTCCAAAGGTAGTTGTTGTGTGAACTAGGTGACTCGTCCCAACGATGGATGGTGTGACAACCTTCTTAAGGGAATGAGTCTGTTTTTGTGTTTAGGTAATAATAATAGTAGTAATGAATAAAAAGATCTAATCAAGTCATGGTCGAAGAGTCAACTATACTTCAATTGGTACCAACACACTTAACTACGTGCTTATGGTAAGAGACAAAGTTTTTGAAAGAAATAGCTCTAGTTAGTGACTTTGTGACTCTTGAGTTGACTTTGGCAACTATTGGGTGGTTTAATTGGACCATAGTGATCTTTAAACTTGAATGTGGTCATTGTAGTCCCTCGACTCTATCCTTTTTTATAATCTAGTTGTGTGAGGGGTGAGATGAATTGTTGTTAGTCCAAGTATCCGTGAGAAGGGTCTAGAACTTGCCCCGAATGTGTTTCAAGGAAAAATCCTAAGTTTTGCTTGGTTTGAGAAGTGATTGTATGCTTTCCTTGGCCCGTTTGAGCTTTCTACTGCCAACCAATGCCGTTATCCCTAGTCAACCCCTTTGAGCCTCTAGTCTTTATCATTTGATAACCATGTTATAAGCCGTTACCCATTTGTCGTGGCCCTCTCTTGGAACCCGGACATTCCTTAACACTCTTGTGAAACAAGTGACTTAAAACATAAGTTTGGGGGAGAGATAAGGAATTTGAAAAAGATATCAAGGCACAAAGAGAGAAAAGAAAGGATCTCTATGAAAAGAGAAGACAAGAAAATAAAAGAAGAAAAAGAAAAATACAAAACGTGAATAAGTGGAAGGATTGATAGTCTCAAAAAGAGGTAATGATACCTAGCACGAGCAATCAAAAAAGGGAGAAAAAGAATGAAATGAATAAAAAAGTCTCTCTAATCCCCAATGAAAAGAAAATGCCTCTAAGAATTGGCAATTGTGAGCCGAGAAATGAAAGTGTGGAGTGCTTAAGGAAAGGTGCAACCACTTACCCATATGGTATCATACCCTAATCGAAAAGCCTTCATTATAATCAGAAAGAAGTTCTACTTGATTTCAAACTGAGTGAACTTACATTAGTGGCGATCTACATGAGGAGCAAGCCTATGGTACTTGAAGGCGTGCTTGTGACATTCTCTTGTGAGAGACGAGTGAACCTTTCATGAATCTTATGATTGAGTGCTAATTTCTTAAGTGAGCTTGGCAAATGGAAAGTAGAGGAGGAAGAGTTTGGAGTTCACCATGATCTACATGATAGAACAAGAGTCCTTGATGAGTAAAGTCAATTCATGAAGCTCAAATGTCACATTAGAACTATATGTGCATGAATATTTGACGTGCCACCTTGTTGATAATGCATGAGTAGTGTGGGTAATTGTTGGTCCCAACTGATGTGTGAATGGCTCACCTTTGACTTACTGAAATGACCCTTAACTCTAGGAGGTGGGAACTAACTTATTTTCTTGAAGACAAGCCAAGACTTAAGTTTGGTGGAGTTGATAAGTGGGGATTTTGACTACTTATTAGCACCTTTTTGATTTTGTTTTAGTCCGAAAGTATTGACTTATGTTCCCAAAATTAATGAAAGTATGCAAATTGTAGGAATGTTGGAAGTTTGGTCTCCCATGATGAAATCCGACTAAAAAGAAGTGTTCAGAATCACAAGGCAATAAAGAGTGCAGGATCAAAGAAGTGCGGTCCATAGAAGGATTTCTGCAGCCACAGAAGAAAAGTACGGACCGCAGAATCCCATCTGAAGCCGCAAACCAAGTGAAAGAACCAACAGGACTTTGGCCAATGTGCAGACCGCACATGAATTGTGCGGCTACAGAACAAGGTTTGCACTGACAAGTGATCCAAAGTTCAGAGAGTGTGCAAAAGACCAAGACCTAAAGCCTTGCTGAAGTGTGGACCGCACAAGAATTGTGCGGCCGCAGAAGATGCTTCGCAGCCGCAATCCAGAAATGTGCAGCTGCAGAATCCAAGCTCCTGCCAACTGAAGAAATCTGTGGACCGCACATGGAATTATGCGGCCACAGAACCTCCTGAGGTGCATTTTTGTCAGCGAATTTTGGGCCATTATAAATAGACGAGTTTCACATTTTTAGGTCAAGTTTCGAAGTTTGAGCTGCTGTAGCCGTTACATTTTGCCATATTAGGAAGTTTGTGACTATTTTAGTGTTTAAATATTATATTTTATCATTTTAATCTTAGATTATGAGTTTAATTAGCATTTCTTCTTTATTTTCTTCAATTCTCACTATGAGTAGTTAGATTCTTACTAGGGTTATGATCCAACCTTAATGTGTAAAACTTATGGGTACCTAATTTAATGTTTTTTTATTATTGGATGTTGATTATTTAGCTTAGTTCATGCTTCAATTTTAGAATTAATGGTTGCAAACATTGATTCATGCCTTTTTGACTTACTCTCTACTTGAGAAATAAGGACCTCGTCTCGGATAACTTGGCTAACAAGGAATTGGGTTAATTGAGAGTTTGATTAGCCTACTTAAAGGGTTCAAACTAGAGATAGTAAGAACCCGACTTGAGCTCATACCAACTATTTTGTTTGATACCCATTTGGACTTGAGAAAGCCAAATTGGGCAAAATCACTCTTTGACCGAGAGGTATTGAGTGGGTAACGTAGAGTTGAGAGCTATAATACACCCCAATCAATAAAACAAGTATTAACGTATTTAACCCATTAGGCGAACACCTAGGTTATGGTCACATCCTTAGGCTTTTTAACTATTTGAAAAAAGACCAAAAACAATCATTCGCTTCTAGATTCTTATCTTAGCTTACAATTGTTAAAGTAAAAGTAGAATTAGAAATCAAAACCTTTTGTGGAAGTGTAAATTTAGTTAATTCATTCGCCCTCGTCAAGTGTATACTCCTAACACCCATTGTAACTTTCTGTGAAAATCGACCCCGACTCTTGTTGGGTACTATTCTTCCAACGACCGTTTTCACTAACTATTGAGTGCGGATTGGACGTAAAAAAACCTCCAAATCAAAATTCAGCATACATCTAAGTTTAAAATCACCATACGAAGCTATTGGAGTCAACAAGACACCATTCCGGAGTCGTCTACACAAAAGTCAAACTCCGGTCAACTCTTGCCACTTAAGCTTCTAAAACGAAATTCATTCTTCCAAATCAATCCCGAATCATCCAAAAACTGAATACGGCCACACACAAAAGTCATAATACACAATCCAAAGCTACTCGAGACCTCAAGCCACCGAACGGGACGCTAATTCTCAAAACGACCAGTTGGGTCGTTACCTTCTCCCCCTCTTAAACAAACGTTCGTCCTCAAACATGCCAAGAGTCTTTCCCAAGCCATCAAATCACGGTACAAACTTACCATACACGTAACCACGAGTCATCCTACGTCACCCCAATCCATATAGTCCCGACAACATCATCTCAACCGAAGATTATTCCCGCTACTCATGACAATAAGCCTTAGAATAAAATTTACACATCCACTAAGCACCCTATCATCACGCAACCACTCTGTAAAATCCTCAACTAGCTGCAAAAACTCATGCATATATCCACAAGATACAACCACGCGCCATAACACATCACCCATATGCGTATAGCAACAACTCTGGCCATAATAGCTACCCATTACCAAGTCCGGTACCGGCAAATAGTCTTATATCGACTAGAACCTTGTTCCAAACCTTTACAACACCGACCATGATGCAAGAAACATTTGAAACTCATAACTACTCACCCGATCAACAAGCTACATCGAATGCCACCTATGCGCATACATCGCAATCCAAACCCAACAAGCACAAATCGAATATGACTCAATATGAAAAGAGTAACACATGAGAAGACCGTCAAACAAGCCAAACAGGCACAACTCCCCACCGATACCAATCTGCGGATCTGATCCACAAGGAAGAAGCAAGACACTCGTAACAACCACAACAAATCTTACTTAATATGACCTCACAGCGGCGCATAGCCCGACACTCACACACTCATTCATAAGGAACACCAGGTCCCCATCCTCCACTTGAAATCACTAATAAGGTAAACATTTCAGCAACTAAACCATTCTACTATCTCAACCTCGTAGAACCAAAATCAGTACATGTAATAACTTCCCATACCTGTAGAGCACCCAAACCATAAGTCTGGCCAAACCATCCAAAGATCACATCAAATACTACCGTGTTTAACTAACAGAAAGTCTACCTAAGCCTCATGACCCTCAATTGCAACCAAACAAGGACGATAGACATGGGCTATCATAATAGAATTCCCCAACTGGCATGAACACATGAATATAGTACAAGAATCACAAAACACAACTATATCTAAAGCAAGGTAGGATGAAATAACACAAATGTATCTCTATAATCAATCGAAATCATACCTGTAATGACATCATCTGGTGCATCAACCTCTGCCCAACCCGAAAAATCTTAACAATAGGCTCGGCCTCCCTCTCTAGGATGACCTTTACTCACCTGACCTCCACCTCTAGCTGGCGGTGTAATTATAACAGTATCTGGAGTAGAACTCATAGCATGAATACCCCCTATGACACATATGTCTAGAGTCTAGGAAA